ATGGCCCTGCTGTCCTCGCGTAGATTGAATCCCCATACGCTGGTAGCATCAACTTCATTCAGTTGCCACCCAGAAGGATGTGATGCTGAAATGACAATTAATAGCACGATTATCTCCATCATTATGATATTAACAAGAATATGATTATGATAAAACCACTAATACCCTTGAAAACGATGCGCTGATAATAATAGCTCGTTTAACAGTAGTAATGACATATCATGCCATTATTGAAATTTATTATCAATACTGATAATGATGATATACGCTATTGACATCATAATAATAACATAGTGGTATTGATTAAAAAATAAATATATATATAGCAGCAATACTATTGATATCAAGGATTGGTGAGTACCACATATGACGTTGATAATAACCATCATTATCATCATCATTGCCATCATTACATGGGCTACCCAACTCATATGCTAACTTAAAAATAAAACACCCCTAGGCACGATGGTAGGTCCGTGGGTGTGGGCATGGGTCTGGACGAATATCGTGGCGTGGACGATAGGCCTCGCTGCTGCATTGGTGATCGGTGTTTTATACACACGGGGCTCAGGCAGATGCACGTCTACGAGGAGACTAGATGGAAAAACTGCCATTATCACGGGAGCTTCAGCAGGTACGTTACAGCAAGCAGGTGAAGTCTTGTTTAACCAGTTTAGAGGTGATCTCACAGGTGCATAAGAATAAGATGCGTGTTGGGGAATTCGTGAGTAAATGATAGCAGTGCTTGCTATCAGTCAGATTTGCATGCGACGGTTCTTAACAGTGAATGTTAGAGATTAAAGAATGATAAGTGAGAAAATTCAGACAGAAGATTTAATCACTTAATCAGTCTATGGTAAATGGATAATGATTTTTTTATGTTAATGTCCTTGCTCTACTGTATCAGAGCTGCTAAGAAGGATATTGTATAACAACTGACCGCAGATGGATCAGATGCCAAGCTGTGTGCACACAAGTATAAGAGAAAGTGAGGGGGAGTAAAGGAAGAGAGAGAGAAGAGAAAGTTTGTGCAATATTATGATTATACAAACAAGTAAAATAAGTAAACAAATAAAAAAGTGTAAGCAAAGATGGTAAGACTATCGTAATCTCTGTCGTAGGTCAGGTGATAGTCTTCTTAAGTCGCAGCAAGTCATGGTGCAACGGTTTTCATGATATATTTACGGATCGTCATTTATTAGACGACTTAATTTTGATTATGATAATAAAGTGCACCAGATTACTCAAACACATTTATGAAGATGCAAAATGAAATGCCTTAAAGATTATACCTAACATTTTCTCATCTTCAAAAATTACCCTCGGACTGTCTTGTTATAATGACTTTCATTTTTTTCCCATAATGCGTTTGCCACTGCGAATAATATTTGCATTAACGAGAATCAGAATCAGAAAATTTTACTGCATCACTGCACAAATCCGAATACGATTTTTTTTTTTTCGTTGGAATTCCATTTACATCATTTACATTTGTTTTACATTTATTTATTCATGTCACGATTGGTGTTCTTACAGGTATTGGCAAAGAAACAGCGAGGGACTTAGCAGGGCGTGGAGCTCGTGTTATTCTCGCCTGCAGGAACGTTGACAAAGCACAGAAGGTTGCCAGTGAGTATTGACGACCTTGTACAGTTTGAAGAAAAAAAGGACAAAGACAGCATATTATTCATGCGCATTTATAATGTATTTATATGTATGTAGATAGACTGATGTGAAAAATAGATAGAAAGATAGATACAGAGACAGGTACACATATATGCACAGCATACACAGAATAAAAACGTTTCGGCTTGTAAGTCTGACGAGAAACGCTCGAGACTGAAACCATATTTTCATTCCGTTTATAGTGAGACACTTTCAATTAATCTGCACACACACACACACACACACACACACACACACACACACACACACACACACACACACACACACACACACACATACACACACACACACACACACACACACACACACACACACACACACACACACACACACATACACACACACACATACACACACATACACACACACATACACACACACACATACACACACACACATACACACACACACACATACACACACACACACACACACACACATGCACACACACACACACACACACACACACACACACATACACACACACACATACATACACACACATGTCACACACACACACACACACACACACACACACACACACACACACACACACACACACACACACACACACACACACACACACATACATACACACACATGTCACACACACACACACACACACACACACACACACACACACACACACACACACACACACACACATACACACACAAACACACACACACACACACACATACACACACACACACACACACACACACACACACACACACACACACACACACACACACACGGCACTCCTGATAAATGTAGTCACACCAAAATTTCCAGAAACACCTCACAGTATCTA